CCCAACACCAACGTTGCCATAGCAGTGCTGGAGCTCCACTCCTTCTTACGCGATTGGGCATCAGCCTTCTGCTTTGGGATCAAAGGCAGCGCAAGTGTTCCAAGCACGGAAGTACCGTAGGCTAGCACGTAGGACAACGCGACAGTGTTCCTGAAGCTGGGCGTGTCTGCAAGGTAGTTGCGGGGATCGGACAGGTTGGGCTGGAAGAGGCCGAAAACCTGATTGCTCATGGCGGTGGCAATGGGCTGGCTGGCATGCATGACAGTCCCAATCAAACCATAGCAGAGGCCTTCTCGTCCAGGCTCTGCGAGTTCAATGACCATCAAGTTCATAACCAAGGAAAGGGTCGTGGTGGGCACCGCGCCAATAATGTCTTCACCAAGGAAGAAATACTGATCTCTGATCACATTGAACACGGTGAGGAAGGTTGGGACGGAGTCCGAGATGGTCAGGCCGAAGACTGCAAGGAGAATCGCCTTGCGCCAGCAGGTGTGGAGGAAGTACTCCTTGTAGACCCAAGTTGCCAACATCATTACCAACATGGTGCCCATGAGGAACATCTGCTGCTGCAAGACCTTCACCTCAGCCCACTGGCTGCGAACCATGGGCCCTGCAGTTGTCGAGATGGTGGAAAAGAACTGCATGATGAAGGCGAAGATCAGCACGGCGGACAGGCCTTTGTTCTTGATGAGCTTCCTTAGTCTCCATGTCAACGGCCATGTGTTGAAGGTAAGCGTCCTAGCAACATGCCTCAGCTACGGACATCCCATGCGATGGCTTCAGGCAAGCTACCATGAAGATTTTACGCTTGACAAACATGATGCCGGGGCCACCTTCTCGGGCTCCTGGACGCACCAAAGGCTTAGAGGGATAAAGGCGGTCGCGATCACGAAGCACACGGCCATCAGGCTTCGGAAGGACATGCCCCAGTCGAACGTGCCCAAGTACTCCTGGCCGCATCTCAAAACCAAAGTCTCCTTCTATTCTCCGGTATTATTCTAGTAGAATCCTATTTTGGGAGGCACTTTTTCTTGAGAAGCCTCTCCTTGCCGTTCATGAACACACCGACAAAACCGGCGGAAGCCAGGGAACCTGCCATGGTGATCATGGTGAACTCCGCCTTCATCTTCCCTCGGGACTCCATTGGCTCGCGCTGGGAATACTCCTGGGTAAGGGTTTAGGGTTCAATTAGGGCCGTTGAGGAACTTAAGCTACGTAAAACTACCATATTTCTGGATACACGACAAAGTGTGGGGTCTCCTCCGCATTATTGCAGCTCAATATGGTGGTCTGACAAAATTAGGGGCCCCAATATATCTATATATATATATATATCCTAATTTTGTCTAATCCCTATTATAGGGAACTCCTAAAAAGTAACCCAAATGTCGGGAAATCCAGATTCCACCTTTTTTGCTTCTGGACTCCCGCGCAGACTCAAGAAACCAACAAAACCTAAACCCCCACTGGTCATTAACAGCAGCACAGACTCCAACAACAGGCCCTCACCTGCCACACACCCCATCTGAATGCCGGCGACAAGGAAGACCATCGGGAACACATACCTGGGATTTAGGGTGTAGGGTGGAAGGGGGGTTTACATTGGTTTAAGGTTTAAGGTTTGGGGTTCGTAGTTTAGGGCTTAGGGTAATACAGCTCCGTATCCGCCGCAGGATGGAGAATCAAATGGAAAGGAACATGGACAATGAAATGGAGCCTTACGGGTTGCTAGCTATATAAGGGCTATATGGGGTCCTGGGATAATGGAGAATCAAAAAGCATGGAAGTGCCGCTGAGATACCAATTCTTCAAAGAATGGATCTCGAGGTTGCAGGGTGGCGACATGATGTCATAGCTGCCATCTGGATTCTGGCAGAAATACCTGTAGCCCCCTTAGACCTACAATAATAACACTATCTGTGCTAATGCCTTAGGGTTCTACTATAAAAACATTGCAAACGATTCCTTAGGAGACTACAGGTGCGGCTTGGGGAGCGGGCGGATGCTCATCACCAAGAGAGCACTGCCAACCACGATCCAAGATGCCACGAAGTAAGGCTTCCTGTTCTGGCCAAAGCCCTGAACCCTAAATCCTAAACCCTGAACCTCAACCCCCCAACCCTAAACCTTAGGGCGTCCTGTGCTGGCCAAAGATGGGGAAGCAGTCGTTCATCATGCCGAAGGGCAAAAGCAACACCTGCGGCAGCTTCATGAGGGCGTTAATGGACAAAACCACGTAGGCGTCCAGCCCCATGTACCCGAGGAAGAAGCCGTAGCCCACGCTGGTAGCCAGGGCATTCCTAACCCAGATTCGCCTTTAAACATTAACAAAGTGTGCCACGTGCGAACAATGCAAAGGCGGCCCACAAAACGTGCTCTTAACAAGAGAGCCCAAAGGGCTTTGGGGTGCTTCAAAGGGTATTGGGTTCCCGTGAATGCGGCCCTGGTTCAGGAAAGAAAGGAAGAAACCACCAAGGGGAAGACCACAGCTGCGCCACGTCCAAATGCTTGGACGTTCGTCGCTGGCACATGTGCCTCTATAACGGAAAATCAAACAAAAAGGAAAATCGAAAATGACGTAAAAACTAGGGGTATGCAGGGTTTCGTTACCCAAGCAGCCAAAATCAGCACCCAATGATAGTCATGTGATAGTTGTAGGACCTTGTTATGGGAGTTGGGGCAATTAAGCTTCCCTGACTATCTACTATCACTGCCCCTTATTTCTTGAACAACTCTGACCATCGCCATTTTCGCGACGATGGCCGATGTCATATGTCACCATGTTCCCCCGCTAGGTTGATATGGGTGTTTCCCGAATAAGGTCCACTGGGATCACAACAGGATGGTTAGTCTGTCCATTGAAAGAATGACGAAACACCCCCGTATGGCAGATTCCATAAATTCGAAGCCTAATATAGACCTCAATCGACTATGGACGGTGATCTTTCTTATTGTAGCAACTCCCAAAACACGAGACCTCCAATTTCTGGAAACCCTATCCATTGAAACTACCATATAATCCCAATTTCTCTTCTTCTCCATTTGATTCGATATTATCGCGAATGTGCCTAAAGCCTAAACCCTAAACCCTATCATTCCCATGACTGCACCTCTCTCCAAGCCGGTCTTGGTGTCAGGCGTAGCAGTCGGAACCACATCGGAAATGGAGTCGCTGGATCCACCAGTCGGAAGCCTTGGATATACTGCCCAGAAATGTGCGTGTTAGGATTTTCCGGACTTAGCGGCTCAAGTCTCTCGGGTCCTTGGGGCTGCGTGGACAAGCGTCTCTGCAAGAGGTACGTGGGTGCGAAGACTAGTCCTTTTGTCGTAGCTCGCGCTTGGTTCCAAAAAGGGGCCCGCAGTAAGAAAGTCAAGTCACTGTACAACACATGTACACACACTGTACGCGCTGCAATTGAGATCTACTTCACTTCTGTGATGTAGCCCTCTTCTTGAGAACGCTGTCAATGGGCTGCTCAACGTCCAAGACGTCGGTTTCCAGGGCTTTTACCAGCTTAACTGGCTCCATCACCTTCAAGAGCGGGTCAGCAATCATCACGTCAGTGTCTTTCCACCTGAGGATGTCAGTCAGCTGATCATTCATTCGCACGGCGGTAGTCATCATAATGTGGATCCCTTGCGCTTTCGCCTTTCTTCCTCCAGAGGCCAGAGGTCTTGCCTTAGAGATGCAATCTCGATGCTTAACCTCTTGTCAAAAAGTTTTTTACACTTCGGATTCTTCAAAGTTTGTTCAAGCATTTTGCAGTCCGTCATTCAAGAATTTTGCAGTCTGTCATGCAAACCTGTCTCATAAACTTAGCGGATGTGGCCTCCCAACGTTTCAAGTCAACTCCGGCCTAAAGCGTGTAAGCCTCCGCTTGTACGGTCGATCTGCAAGCCCTGCGTACAAGGTTGCTTGACGTACCAAGAGATAGGATGAATGTAACCTTTGTCTGCAGGTCCTCTGTTGCAAGGAAAACCATTGGGGCTCCCTGCCTTCCCCTATCCACAAATGTCATTTCCTTAATGATCATATCTTCGGACTCGTTTGCATGCGAAGCATCCGCGATCACCAGATTCACGAGAGCTCCGGGCTTCTTCCAGTCCCTTCCAGTCCAACACACCTGAACGGAATACGAATCCACGATCATGAGTGCAAATAGCACACTCAACGGTCTTGTTGGCTTCCCGGATGTCGGCACGGTACCGTGGTTTGATGCTGACTGAATACGAGAAACCCTGTAGCTGAGGTCAGGTCGGCACTGTCTGCAAATCCATGCCAACGAACCGGCTATGCTCTTCATCTGCGTCCGGTCCGAGTCCGTAAGTGGATCTCCAGGATGCCTCTTGGGCGCGACTCCGCGACATGAATCTTCTTGACTCCCCGTGGCGTCGCTGCAGGAAACATGGATGTTGAAACCCTCGTCTTGCTCAATTTCCCTCCCGCAGTAACGAGAGGAAGCGGTCTCGGCCGTACCACACTTGAAATTTCAGCGTCGATCAAGTCTTTAATGATCCAGTCGCATGACGGGTCACACGCCCACAGTAGGGTCCACATGGGACGTCATGAGCATCTGTACCACCCCATTGGCGTCCGTGAAGCTGTACAGCGCACGGCAAATCCTGTTCTCCGTGAGACCCTTCTGTTTGAGGTAAGTCCGGAGGCGTTTCCAGAATCGCCATCCGCGAGCATATGCTCGTCAGGCTTGACTTCGGCTGAGACAAGAGAAGGATTCTGTCAATCTCTTCTCCTTGGCAGTAGGCGTTTGCGACGTCCAAACTGTAGATTTTGAAAAATCCAGATGCAGCGAAGAACACAATGTTCTGAGCTTCGATGCTTGCCGTCGGGCTATCACTGCGTAGGTCTCCTTGATCGAGATCCCCTTAAACAACGAGGCCACTTTTGTACTTCGGCTCTACCGTTGAATCAAGAAGTCTTTGCGCGAAATTCTTGTCCACTTCTACCCACTGGGTAGGCACTATCTGATGCCCTTCGCGTACCAATTCTTTGAGCTGCGTCTTGTCTATGACGACGGTGGCGCTGAACTCCTTCCACTTGTTCCATGCCTTCTCGCGCGCCTGGTCCAGCTCTTTTTGGTACCTCTTCGGGGCATTTGGAATAAAATAGGTTCTTCCCATGTTTTGCCTTTTGACTCTTGGAACTGTAGTTTTTCCTCCGTTTGCACTATACGCTTGTTGCCGGCGTCTCCAGGCGCTCGGCGAAGAAACAGCGAAGCGACTCGTACTCCCTTTGTCCAGGTCGAGAGTTCCAGACACGATCTTCCTTATAGGAGCAGAAATGACTGGCAATCGCGCGAAGCGAGGTAGCCAATAATGAGTCGTCTGCTTCAGCTCCATCCTCTACTGGTTGTGTTGCTTTTTCCACTGTTACGTCCGGCGGCTCAGCGTACAGATCTGGGCACTGTACCTGCGCAGGTTCTGGATTTTGGAGGAATGTCTGCTCGGGGCGTGGCTGCTGGTTCCAGTCCAAGCTCTGCGCCCAAATCCTTCTCTTCCCCATCAGGATTGCCCAGTCGGACATCCTCAGCGGCATCTATGTACCGTCGCTGGTTCCTTTTAGACTCAGCATATTCAAGCCTGATACTGCCTCGGTTGAGTACCTGGTACGCCACAACTTCAGCTGAGGCGCCGGCCTAAGTCTCGACAAGCTGGTAGAGGTCTCCCGCTTGGTAACGTCCCGCCAAAGGAGCTGACTTTCTCAGCAGGGTCAGTCCTCATGGACAAATGCCTTTCGGGCTGTACGCCAAAACTCAGCTTTCTGGCCGAAAGCCGGCGAGGCATCTTGCAGGCCTGAAAGTACTCCAAGCTGTCCGAGCTCCTCCTCGTCGAACGAGGATGTGTCCGACTACTCTTGGGAGTCTTCCCAGCACCCACTGCGTAAGTCTGAATCCTCCAACCTGGGGAAACTCATTCTTAGAGTCCTGCGCTTCCAGCATGGCACTCTTGGCATCATCCTTGCCTGCAACGAGGTTGTTTCGTACAATCCTTTTAAACGCTCTCTCTATGATGCCCCCGTGACGCTCACTTCTTCTGATGCTCCGGTGACTCCAACCCAGCTTGCCGGATCAGAGCCCCACGGCTGGCCAACCCCGCGCGCAAAGGCGCCGCGCTTGTGTAGGCCCCTGTCATGGGAAATCACCGGCAAGAGTGTTTATTTATTTGTTGTCTGGTCGTTTTTGTTGTTTGGACTTTTCGGCTGGTTTTTGCTGTTTGGGCCGGTGTGTGTGTGTGTGTGTGTGTTTGCTGTTTGGGCGGGGCCATGGGCGGGGCAACGGGCCGCGCCCAAACAGCACAAAAAGCAAAGAAAACACGGCCCCGCCCCTTACCCATCTCTCCACGGCAGAATTGATTTTCAGCAAAACACACACTCCCGCCGGGAGCATATTTATGTTTTTGCTGCTGGAGCAGGTGGCGTGTTTATGTTGTTGCTGTTTGGGCGGGCCGGGGAGAGGGCGTGTTTATTTTTGTTGCTGTTTGGGTAGGGGGCGTGTTTATCTTTTTGCTGTTTGGGCGGGGGGCGTGTTTTGTTTTTTTGCTGTTTGGGCGGGGGACGTGTTTGCTTTTTGCTGGTTGGGCGGGGGACTGTTTTTTGGCTGTTTGAGGGGGGACGGGAGTTCACTCACTTACCAGTAGGCCTGGCTCATCTTTAAGGGGCCCATCAACAAAAAAGACAAACCAGAGAAAAATACGGGTTTCGGAAATCACCTTGCACCACCCGTGAGACCAAGCGCTGCATAAATTTCTGCAGACACTTGCCTGATCCCGGCTGGCCACAGCCAATCTTGACCAGCAAAACCACTTGGTAGCATGTACCTATGTCTACCAGATTAAGCCAACTGAACCCAGCTCCAGCGCAGTCCGCTGTCTCGCAAACGTCCACGGACACTGTATGGTTTAACTCATACGGCGGGGGAGCTGAGACAGGGTGAGTTCTAACAGGCTCTTCACTCACTCTGCAAGACTCACACTTGAAAAGCTTGGCATCACTGATAAAGTCTTCGGAAGCTCCAGCGGGCCAAAGAACCTGTATCAAAACTTCTTGTTGCGCAGCCTCCTAATACCCAGTCTAACCTTCCTAGGTATCTTAGCCCACTCTCTGCGCCTTTCAGACTCTTGCTGTGGAAGTCCAGCGAAAGGATGGGTGTCTCTCAGCTGCCAACTCAAACTCATCCACAAAGGTAGTTCTGTTGTCCCTAGAGTCCAAAACTGCATCGGGTGTGCCTGAAAGCTCAACCTCATCCTGCCTAGCCTCAACAGGAAGAAAAGCATGAGCTATCTGCTCCTCAACACAAATTTCCTGTAAAGCAGCAATAAGGTTCTCAGCAAAATCCTCACGCGTGCCTACAGTGTCTATGCCAGCACGGGAGTAGTGTATATCATGTTCACTATCAGCCCAGTATAAGGCATGACTGCATGGGAGTAAGAGCCTATACCCAGGTCACCCCTACCTTGGTAGGCTAGACACTCCCTGTCCAGTAGTCCCATCCAACGCTACCCGAACTGTCGAACACAAGGACTTCTTTGTGTACGTGGAGAGGCCGTGCTAGTGAGACTTGTGGAGTCCTCCAAGCTGTACACCAATAATGGCAAGTCTACCTTCTTGCATGCAGTCTCTTTAGAGATTTGCCGCCTCCAGCCATCGTCCTCGATGAGTTTTTTTTTTGTTGGTGGTCGCCATGCCTGCTCCTGGCACATTGAGTGCTTTCAACACCCTCTCAGCATGCTTGTCAAGGTTCTTAGCAGAATCCTCATATGATTTGCCCTGCCCGGTGGTCATGACACGAAGTGTGCTCCCCAACATAGTACGCTGACTCACCACGCGGCGGAACCATGAACACCAGCGTGTGCTTAGGGTTCTCGTTGGAATTGTTCCCGAAGTAGGCCCACTGCTCTGCGCGAACGTCCACCTCAACAAACTCCCAACCTTGACCCTCACGCTTAAGGGCGGTGTATTTGTGGTAACGCCTGAGCGCCTCTGGGTTCTTGTCCCATGAGTTGGCCACCCCAGCCCTGCGCGAAACCCTAACAGGAGGTGACAACACCAGTGCCTCACCAGTGTGCAACCAGGCCTTTAACTGGATGGCTCCGGCCTTCTTGTGGCCGCTGATAACGGCGTCCATACATGAATGGCCAAGCCACCTGGAGTAATTAGGATCTTTGTCAAACAACGAAAAGTCATGCCATGTTTCCTGATGGGTAAGCGAGGCAGGGCCACTGATGGTGTGCGTCTGCTTGCCGCGTTTGCCACCACCCTTTCCCTTTTCCTCGCCTTTGCCTTTGCCCCGTGCACACTCGAGGTCGCGCGGTTTGCAGAGCGGGCGACGTGTCTGGCTTCTGCTCCACTCCCGACGCAGAGCCTCGCGGGCCTTTTTTTGTCAGTAGTGGCGGCACCCTTTTCCTCTCATCCATCTGTATGATCGCTTGATCGGGACTGCGGTTTGCAATCTCCAGGTCAGGGCACCAGTCAAGCTCTGTGCGCTTGCCCTTCAGGAAGTCACTGACCAGGGGCTGAAAGAGCGCTTCAGCCGGACTCTTTTCCAAGTACTGTGCTGCAACAGCGCATGCCAAAGAGACACGGTTACGGTTGTCGTGGTACTTGGCCATGAGCGTGGAGACCTCAGTGAGCTTGGCCGGATTGAAGACACTATAGATGCGAGATAGGTACATGACAACTACCTTCTCAATGTCCTCATCCTTGGTGAGCTCAGTCATGAATGGCCTCAAGTCATAGAGCGGCTTGCCGCCTGCACTGATCATAGATGATGTCCCTTTTCATTGGGATCATCCCTTCCTTTCACCCTCTTTTTCTTCAACCTTCATAGGTGATGTCCCTGTGTTGGGATCATCATCTTTCTTCTCGTTGTCTTTCTCCGCCACCTTCTCCATTTTTTTGCTTGTTGCTCCAGCAGCAATGACAGATTTAGCTGGCCATGACTTTGCTGGCACTTGAGCGCTCACCTTTGGTGTAGGACGAAGAAACGCTTCTTCGCCGACATCATCATCAGCCTTGAAGACAGCTGCTGTCCCTCTTACTGCAAAGTCTAAGCCTGTTGAGAAGGCTACTCCCAAGTCTTTGCACGGAGTAGGTGGCGCTCCTGTAAGAGTCACCCTAGGAGGTGCCTTACCAGGCCCAGTAGGAGCTTGAACGTCAGTCCCCCTGTGGCGCCAGCTGATGATTTTGTGAGCGCTCCAACCCTTCCTAGGTCGCAGCTTCAAGGCACTCCCTGATAGCGGTTTTGCCCGTGCCCCACCGACACTCTTGGCAGTTGCTGCCACAGGGGTACTTCCAATTTGGGCCATCACACGGGAACTTGTTGAGGCCATGTGTTTGACATTGCCCTCATTGGTCCCAACGCGGTCCCTAAGTGTGATGTCCTTGCAAGGATCGTCTATTGGCCTGCAGTCCAAGAAAAGGATCTGGCTGTCACCCACCCCATCCAGGATGTCGTAGTTCTCCCTGATGGACTTCAGCAAGGTGTCCTGGTGCTCAGGGTTGTCCAGGGTGAAGCCATAGGATTTTCCCTTGTGCAGTGTACCAATGAGCTTGCCAACCCCGTGGTACACCTGCTTGGATCTGTGGCCATACTCCAACCTGGTACAAATCGAGACATTCTTCTTTTGTTCCTTGTCCCGGACAAGTCACCCAGCATGTATGCTGAGTAGTCGTTGTCTCCTGCAGAGATCAATGCCTTCTTCACAAAGTACTTGTTGCACGCGACGTCCGTCTCCTCATTCTTGATGGCGAAGTGCTTGTGTCTCGAGGAGATCTTCTGGGGAAACTGCAAGATGTTCATCAGCAGCAACCCCGTCTTGACGTGCCTGGCAAGCTCCACGCTTCCGCTGTAGCCGGAGAGCTTTGCACGTCCGTGCCTCAAGTCTCTCACGAGGCCTAGCTAGACTTGGTCTTGGAGCGATAGGCGACATAATATGTCAGGACTATGGAGTTCGACTGACCGAAATCTCCAAGGAGAGGGGTTTTCCCCACCTTGATAGAGAATGGTAGGAGGCACCTCTCAGCGGACTTCACGGTCCCAACGCCCCTAAAACTTCCGCCCGTGCTGTCGAGGCGAAGTACCTTGAGACCGTGTCGAGCTAAGACGCTGGATGCTTGGAGTCCCCAACCCGTTCCGTGACACGTTTGATTGCACCCCTCATCCAACATAACCCAGACACAACTGTAGTCCTCTAAAAGATCAACAAGTCTGAGCTGTGGTTCGGGGATAACCCCACCCGTTGGAGCAGCGTCTTCTGAAAGGTCGCTGTCCGAGTTGGTGCCCCTGCCAGGGTCGCCACTCATGCCAGCAAATGACTTGCGGCTCGGGGTCCCTGTACCGCTTCCCTTGCCACTCAAAGCATGTGGCAATACAGGGGAGCTTTGCTGGGAACCTGAAACGGCTGGGATTGGTCTTTGAGGAGTGTTTGGGTTTGAGTTTGAAGCTGCACGTCTTGGGGCTTTTTCAGGCGATACCGCTGCGGCAGCTGCAAAGGATGACCTAGCAGTAGGATCAAATTCATGACTGGGTCGACTTCCCTTGCTCCCTTGCACTGTCCATAGCATCTTCTAGAAAACTAGACAGCTCAGTGGAGGTCACGATGTCAACCTTAACCAGAAACTTGTCCATGTGCTTCAAGAATCCCTTTACCACCTCACCAGCCGCAAACTTTGTGAAGTTGCACTCCTCAAGTTGCCTGCGTGTCAGGTCCTGCTTTCGCAAGGGGCTCTGCTGGACTTGTTCAGCAAGTCCTTGTTGTTGTTTCCACAACTGTTTTGGAGTTTTCTCAATCGTCGTACAACAATCTAAGCAGTAAACTCTATGGACAGAGCGGGTGCTGTTGCGGTTGTCCGTACCTACGCGGACACGCCTCGTGGCTCTGTGTGTCACGTGCGCGTTGCTGCCTGCTCGGCTGACGGCGCGCGGTGGACATCCGCCAGCACACGGTCCTTCAGGATCCGCAGGCATGTGGCTGAGCTTGCTCTTTGACTTCTTCACTAGAGTGATGGAAGCGCGAGCTTTCTCCAAGGTATCACAGGAAGGGGAACGCGCCTGAGCGAGACGCCTCCACCTCCAATGGGTGGTACCTCGTAGCGTCTGAACACTCAGATGAGGTGTGCCAACAATTGTGGCCTTGACTCTTTCTGTCCTGAGCCCCAATGGAAGTAGTCTGGGTGACTACGCAGAACCGCAAAGATAGTTACCTACGGTTTCCCAAGTTGACGAATTTTCAACAGAATCAGGGTCTTCTTCGAGCTCCTCATCAGGAGGGTCCATCTCACCAGGCCCAAAGAATCCCACGTAGGCCTCGGGGTCTAGATCTCATCATGCTTAAGGGCCAAGTAAATGGCCCTTTCGTGCTCCATGTGGCTTTCCGTCTCGGACAAGCTGGGCGATCCCGAAGGGTCATCAGTCTGCACAGGCAGCGGGCGTTTTCTCAGACTTCTTTCTGGGAGACTCTCTGTCTCTGGCCCAGTGGCCTTGCCTAACTTAAACTTTGCAAGCACTCCGGAGCTTGATCTCCTGGACCTTCTTCCTGCGGTCTTCTACCGTCAGGTTTGAAGTTCTGGGCCCATGCCATGTGCTCCCTTGACCGGCTTGCCTTTCCCTTTCGCCTTAGACCTTACCATGAACACTACGGTCTCAGACTGTACGGCTTCCGAAAGGACAGCTATGCAATCGCGGTTGCCTTCATCAAAACCGTCCGCGCCAAGGAAAGACATCCAGATCTACATCCCTTAGCGATGAATCTGCTGTCCATGCCACCAGGTCGGCGTCGTCATTTTCATCACCTTCCTGGGTATTGTGTCCACCTTCGCCGTGGTAGACCCACTCTTCTCCATCATATCCTGCTTCCTCACTCGCAACGAATGGACTGCCGTCTTCTTTGTAGCCTTCGAAGATTTCCTCCATGGAGCAAGGAGGTCCCCTTAGAAGATCCTTCCCCCTTGGACCAAACTTCGTCGGAAAGCTACTCTTTCCTTTTCCGGTTCCTGTTCTCCCTTGGAGCTGGACTTTCTTTCGAAAGTACGTATGTGGCTGTGCATCTTTATCAAAGCCTTTTCGACGTCATCTACCTTGGTAGATGTGCCCATCGCCGTCAGCACCATGAGGCGCTCTGGGCAGCCCAATCCGGATTTATCAAGAATCAAGTCCGTGAGAACGGCCTCATTGATGGCAACGTTCATGTCAAGCGGCTGTAGCTTGCGCCACCACTTTGTGCGCCTGGCGATGTAGCATCCCACCGATTTGGATGCCCAATAGGCTCTACACAATCGCTGGAATGTTGTTCTCAAAGTATAGGACCTCAGAACTGAGGGCCTCAGCCATTCTGTATGCCTCGCCCCTCAAGGAGTCGACATGTGTTTTCTTGTCATCTTTTTCTGTCTGGTTCCAGCGCGTTCAGGCTCCGAACGCCCATTCATGAAAATCACGAACGGTTCCGGCGTAGACCAGGAAACCAAACTTTGTCAGGTCGGCGTCCCGACCCGGAGTAGGCCGGTAGGCCAACGAACCACTTGCCATGGCTCTGTTCTCGCCCGCGGAGTGAGCACCTGGTTATCTTAACCGAGTGCTCCGCTGCCAAGACTAGTCCTTTTGCCGTAGCTCGTGCCTGGCTCCAAAAAGGGGCCCCTGCGGTGAGAAGGTCAAGATAAATCACTGTACAAGACATGTACTCACACTGTACGCGCTGCAATTGAGCTCTGCTTCACAGTGGGCTTTCCATCTGAGAAGGAAAAAATCACTGCTGCCCATATTCTTGGCCACAAGAAAGGTAAGCCAGGCCGTGAGTTACTCAAACAGGGGTTATAGGGCCTATACCCTGCAAACTGCAACCCCTGCAAGAAAGCTTGACCCTAAATCTGCAAACACTCGAATCATTAACTCCTTGAGCCCTGGTAAATTCCAAACTGTGGGGTCGTCCCGTTTACATACCCCCAAACAGTCTCCTAATCATGGGAGATCCCAAAAAGGGAGTTATCGGAAGCCCCCTAGAGCCAATTCAAGCCCCCAAACCCTGAACCTTGACAACTTTAAACCGTCTGCTAACGTGCGCAAGGAGCGTGGGCTGCTCCTTCCCGCCACGCTTCACTGCGATCTCCTGCTGTGCTGGCTTGTCAACAGCACGCTTTTGGGTCTAGGATTGATTTTAATTTAGGTTTCAAGGAAAGCTGTGGCTGCGAAGGCCTGTGGACGGATTTAGGCGGAGAAATGCAAAAAAATGTGCGAAAAGTCGAAAAATCGGAAAAAAAAATCAAGGCGATTTGGTGCGAAAAGTCGAAAAGCTGAAAAATCCGAAAAGTCCCGAAAAGTGCCGAACAGTCCAAAAACTTGCAAAGTACCGAAAAATCCGAAAAGTGGAAAAACACCGAAAAGTTCAGAACAGACCGAAAACTCGAAAAGTACCGAAAACACGAAAAAACGGAAAGAATACCGAAAAGTCCGGACAAGTACCCAAAACCCCGAAACGTTGAAAAGTACCGAGAAAACCGAAAAGTCGAAAAGTGGAAAGTCAAAAACAATCCCGAACAGTACTACAAAACCCGAAACGTCAAATCGTACCCAAAAGCCCGAAAAGTCGACAAGTCCGAACAAAAGTCAAACCCCAAGCCCTGACACCCAACGCAGATTCCAAAAGCATGTACGACTAAAAAGCCCTGGGGGAATTTAGGTCTGTAAATGACACCCGCATTGCGCCCTAAAGTGTTTCACTGTGTCCTGAGTCCTCAGCAGTAGGACTAGTAGTAATAGCAGTAGCAGTAGCAGTAGCAGTAGCAGTAGTAGTAGTAGTAGTAGTACTACTACTACTACTACTACATACTACTACTACTACTACTGCTACTACGACTACGCGCGCTTTATGTATTTGACGACCTGTTATTCTGGCTGTCCCGTCACTGAAGAAGTAAGAAAATACTTCGCAAGGGGGCTAACTTGAAGAAGGGGCAAAGTTCGCAGTCGGGATTCCGTAAAGTCATGATGGCAAGACACAAAATCACTGTCCCATGCAGTGTTTAGGGCTCCGCGTCCTTTTTTCGAAGCATGCATTTCAGACACAATTGCACATGGCATCGAAGAAGAAAGTATTGCAAAACACAGCATTTTGGCAACAGAGCAATTTTGCCAAAAACGTGCTTTTGAAATCTGATTCTTTAGTATAGGCGAAATGCTACGCGGTCGACCTGCACAAGGAAAAACAACCAAAGAGTGGATTCTGTAAAGAAACTTCATGGATTGGATTCGCCATTATTTCCATGGGAAGTATGAAGCACCAGAACTCCGAAAAGGAAAGCCCTAGCCCATTAGCTCCGAACTTCAGTTTAGGGTTTAGGATTCATGGTCTACGTGCTCAAGCTTAATTACCCCGGGGGTAGGTTGCAAAATCATTTTCATTCTCGTTGCCCTGAATCCCGACATAAGCTCCAATATACAGGCACACAAAACTTGACTTCTTTAGGGCTCCTAAAAGTACCCTAGCACTGCTATTGCGGGAGGAAGTGTGACCGCGCATTGTCATGTGGCGGGCCCCAGCCAGGAGTCCTTGCACGCCGTAACTAAGTCCTATCGCCCTAAACCTTAAGCCTTAAATCCTAGACCTTGAACCCACAGCATCACTGCTCAGTGGCCTCTCATGGGAAACTAGGTTTGTTTACTTGGATAGATTTCGCGACTTTGGGGTAACAAGGACAGTTAAGACTATTTGACCTATACTATTGAAGGTTTTCAGGGTAGCAAAGGAACTTCATACATGTAACCTTCAATAATGTGGGCCAAATATTATTGAGTGCTCTTTCTGCCCCCCTACAGTCCTGAAAAATAGAGGCTAAGTATCATTGTGCTTGCTTGCTAGCCTAAGGTTGTAGTGATGGGCAAAGTGTTTCTTTCGGAGCTTGCTGTGTTTACGCTTGAAAATCTGAGTGGCCATAAAAATAAATGTCATTGAACATGTTTCTTAATCTTTCAAGTCTGATGATACATGTTCCAGTACAAGGTAAGATGTAGAGTTTGTAAAGGTGCCGGAGGTGTTCTTCGGAGCTTGCTGTGCCTAAAATCCTTTATGAGCTTCTCATGCCCTGAAATCGTTATGGACGTAATTCCCACCCCCCCACCCCACCCCATCCCACCCTTACAACAAGCTGGCGAAACTGTGAAATTCCTTAAAAATCCAAAAGGTCGTTTTTGGCTAAAATAGGTCCACATGGAAAAAAGCTACGAAACCTTGCAAATACCAGTGACTTCGTCCAAGGGCACAAAAACAGAGCTCTCTAAACAGCAAGGAAAAGCATACTTTCAGAAAACGTAC